TATATATATATATATATATATTCCTCGTCTAAATTGCTTAGACATCTATTAGGGAAAGTTCATGGTAGAAGAAAAGACTTGCCTATAATCACCTTCACTGTCAAGCGAGGTATGTGGTCTGGGGTGCGCGTTCCGTCGAGAGGATCGCCGTGTGTGCCCTCCGGGCAGCAAGAGATGTAGCCACCGAGCGTGTTCCGGCGGATGCATGCCATGGCAGGGATATCGATCTTTATCAGCACACTCGTCGATGTCTGCAATCTAGCAGCATTAGATCCAATCATGAAAAGCCCAAGAGAAGCACTAATCGGAGAAGAGACGACGGGAACGGAGAGCAGACCTTGGCATCCATCAGCGACATAGGGACTGCCTTGACAGCCGGTGGAACACTTACAACGATACCCAGGACCATTGGAAGAATTCAAAACACTCACAGTGCTCACTGACGCAGGCACAAGACATCGGCAGGTTGCGGTGTACTACTTCGCAGGTCTCGTTTCCGATCTCAGAAAGAGAAGACTGGAGCAGGAACTGCAGCCTGGCTTCCATGAAGAAGAGAGAGAGTGAGAGAGAGAGAGAGAGAGAGAGAGAGAGAGAGAGAGGTTTTACCACAGTACATCTAATGCTGTCAATACAAAGATGAATCGTTGAGAAATGTTCAGATAAAAGGAACCGATTTGATCCGAAGAGAGAAATATATGGGTGTGTGTTGCAGTGCTTCCATGAATCCCAAGGTGATGGTGGTGGCACGCGAACGCACTGCCAACATTAACGGCGCAGTGGACGACAGCTCTCCCCATCGCCCTTGTGATTCCTTTTCCGTAACGTTACGTTCTCTGCTGAGTCAAAAGGCGTCTCCTATTAGCTTTATGAACCCGAACAGAGTCCCGAACACTGATACGGAGGCATAATCTTCTTTCCGACTTCCAATCACCACACGGGTAAAATAGTGGGTATGTAAAATGAGTGTATGCGTTAAGTTGTTATTTAAAGCGCTCTTAAGGAACACATTAGATTCGGCGGTGTGTATAATATGGTTTATTTTACGTGGTTACTGAAGTTAATGAAACCCACGAACGAGAGAGAGAGAGAGAGGGTAACGGAAACCGACAACGATCGCCGCTTCCCCCCTCAAACCCCGCGGCTGAGACAGTGCGGGTAGTGGTGGCTACTGTGTGCGTGTGAACGAGAGAAGAAGCCAACAGCAGCAGCAGCCAGAAGGAGTCGCTGCCTCGCCACTGCCTGTCGGCGATGGGCTCCGTCTCGCTCAATATTCGTGACGGCACCGCCCGCTTCCGTCGCGCCACCCTCTGCTCCTCCGCTGTTCACCTTCTGATGCTTGCCTCTGTCCTTACTACGAACCTCTTCGCCCTCTATGCCTTCACCTCCGCCCCCTCCCCCTCCGCCGCCCCTGCTTTCTTCCGCCACCACCCTGGCGTTGGCGGCGGCCGTGGCAACGTCTCCGTCATATCTGATCACGTCTCACTTATCGTCCGCGAGATCGAGGCCTCGGAGCGCCGCCTCCACATGATCGAGCGCGAGCTCGCCGGGTACGACATTCTCGACACCTCCAAGCACTCCCTCCCCTCCGAGCTCAAGCTCTTCCTCGCCCACCACCCCCTTCCCCTCGGCCGTGACGCCCGCTCTGGAATCACCGAGATGGTCGCTTCCGTCGCCCACTCCTGCGCCCGCTCCCCTGCCGCCGAGCTCCTCGCCCGCTACATGTCCTACAGGCCCGCCGCTCCATGCCCCACCGACGACTACCTCCTTCCCCAGAAACTCGTCGCGAAGGCGTGTGAGCCCCTTCCCCGCCGCCGCTGCCTCTCCCGCCCCGCAGCCTCCTCTGCCGCCATTCCTCGCCTCTCCTTCGCCCAGTCCCTCTGGAACCCGGGCGCCAAGAACCCCGGCGCCGGCATTTACGGCATCGACAAGCAAATGTGGGTGAAACCCAGGAGTAAAAACGACTTCTTGATCGACGATGTCCTGGCTCTGGGCAATGGCGGGATCCGGATCGGGTTCGACATCGGAGGTGGAGCTGCTAACTTCGCCGCCAGGATGGCCGAGAGGAACGTCACCGTGGTGACGTCCACCCTCGAGATAGGCGGAAAGCCGATGAATGAGTTCGTGGCGGCTCGGGGCCTCTTCCCGCTGCTCCTCTCGCCGGCTCAGAGATTTCCCTTCTACGACTCGGTGTTCGATCTGGTGCACGCGATCAACGCGTTGGACGAGGGCGGCGCCCCGTCGCTGGGGCAGGCGAGCCGCACCGAGGTGCTCGAGTTCTTCATGTTCGACATCGATCGGGTTCTCAGGGCCGGCGGCTTGTTCTGGCTCGACAACTACCTCTGCGCCGACGACGACAGAAAGCGCACGGTCACAAGACTACTAGAGAGACTCGGGTACAAGAAACTGAAATGGGTGGTGGACGAGAAGGCCGGCGCGAGCTCATCGGGGAAGACGCAGATACGTCTCTCGGCCGTGCTGCAGAAGCCAGCGAGAAGTCGAACTGCGTCGCATTCGCCGGAGAACAGGTGATGGGTCGATTCTTTAGATTCATGCCGACCGAATTGGTCGGCCGGTCATTGCATCCAACAGGTTTGGTCGTTTGCTGTATTCAAAATAAGAGAAACATGGGGCTAATTATGAGTGTAAAGTCACTAATTACGTTCATTAGGAAGGTGATGCAAAGAAAGAAGCAACTATTCTATGCTTACAGGAGCAAATCTGCACCGCATTGTCTTCAATTCAGCTTGTGTATCAATCATTGGTTACTCATTGATTAACCATTTTGCCGTATTTGGAAGACTGTAGCTCAACTTCATATGCTGTAGACATGTCAAAGGGGGCAGATAGCTGTAGGAGTTGGTAACATCCAGAAAGTGTAACACCCATCATAAACACCAATTTTGCAGCAAACATGGGAATGGAATCCTTAAGTTACATGAACATTCATACTTCACAGCATTGTTCCATTGAGTGTCTTCTTTCTTTCCTTCGGTAAGAAATAACAGTAGGGAACCACTGCTTACGCTAAAACCCACACCAATTAAACCCTTTAGGTTTTACATTCCATACAATATCCATCATTTATGGGCTTCAAGTGATCGCGAGATTTATGCTTCATTACATGAAGCTTTTCAATAAACATAACATTTTCTCACTTGAACGAAAAAGAGCAAATAATATACAACATGGAGGGGAGAGAAAAAAAATACAAATAGTTCACTGGGAAACATTAGATGTCTTTGCTTCATTCTCCGAGTTGCATGGTTATCGCGAGCAATGTCTCGAGAGGTGCCTTTCCTTCTACTTGATGGTACATGCAAAACCATCCATCAGCTGCATGCCTTCCTGGCTCATCTTCTGCACTTCATAAGGTGATAGAATTCTGATGCATTTGACACAGTTTATGAACTCCCTACGGGTGCAGAGAAGCAATCAACTGTTAGCAATTAGAGAGACATGATAAATCATTCCTTGAGTGGATATTTTATGAGCAAGACAGAGTAATGAAAGACTTGACGGTCAACCGATTAAAACACCAATGAGATTATCTATTCTCTAGCATATTTCTCGGCAATGATACCAAGATACTCAAATTGTGGTATAAAATGGCTGTCCTAATAACACTATCAATAACTATGTTCAGAGAGAGCGACAGAGAGAGAGGAAGTAGAAAATTATAATGGCAATGGACTAAAGATGTGCAAGGAACCATTATGACTATGTACCCTAAAGATGCCACTATAATTTTCTCCACTTCCAGTATTCTCTTCCTTTCTTGGTGCTTAGACAACAACAAGGATTCTTGGGGCCATCCAAGCAAATGCAGACACCACTAGCCATGCATCTCTGGCACAAGGCTGCACTTACCATAGTTCAGCACCCTGGAGAGGACCTTTATCCCATCAGAGGACAACCAAGATGGTTTAGGACGCTATCGACCATGACATGGCAGGAAATTTCCTTTCTGTTTTTGCTGAAATCATGCAATCAACCATGACTCCCCAGCTTCATAGCTCGGGGAGGAAGACTAGTTCATTCTGGCAGCTTCACCATCCAAGAAGCATGACTTGGTGCAACAAAAGCAATCAAATTGAATAGTCGAACTTGCATTGGTGATTCAGTAATCAGCACAATATTCTTGAATTGGCATGCGATGTTTATGTAAACAAGGGTCCTTAAGGTACAAAATTTGACATGGCTCGTCAGTGCACACCCTTATTTACTCTTAAAATGGAAAGGAATCCAAAGACAAAAAATAACTGCGTAAGTAAATCAATAAGCCAATGTGGGTAGGGTAGCTCAGTAAAATTTGTCTGTGAAGAAAGATAAGTTGATCTAGAAACCTAACCACTTGGTTGAGTGACCGAGTAAACATTTGAAACCAAAAGCTCTATGATTCACATGATGGTACTCTCAAGTTTCCTTAATTGTGGGTTTGCACCACAAGACTAAATTTGGATGGAAAAAAGAATATAGCGAAAACCAAATCACCTTTATATACAAATTACAAAGATATGAAGAAAAATAATATTATTAAAACATATTTCAGAAAAGAAGAATCTTATTGGGCCTATTGGGTTATTAATGAATCAAAGCAATTGCATGGAAAAAAGGAAAGGAAAGTTAACACTTACTCCCAAGGATCATCCCCAACCTGAAGAACATCATTTTCGTAATCAATATAAACAAGCTTCCATTCTGAACCACGTGGATCATCCAGTTGTCCCTCTAATCCAAACATGCAGGCGACTGCAGATCTCAATTCATAATAATTACTAAAGCGTGTTACATCAATTGATCTTCCAACAGATCCTACTTTTTGAACCTGTTCAACAAAGATGTCATCACTTTATTAGTAAAAAAGATAATTTGTTTTGTTTATTCTTGAAGTATTTCCATTATTCGAAACTAGTACTCCACCTTAGTGTATGTTCTTAAAGGTTGTTGACATGCTTGCTTCCGGGAACCTTGGTATAAGCTGCAATCATTCATAGCTATGATGGCAGATGATGTACCTGCAGAGCTGTCAGGGACGTCTTGTAGCGAGAATACTGAGTCTGTCATTCTTGTTGAAGTAATGTGAGACACTGATTCCTGATTTGAAGTGAAATTACAAACTGGCATCACAGAAGGAATTTGAAACCTGGAAGAACCTATTGGACTGAGGCCGTCCATGACTGCACCTGGAACATGGCCCATATCCATGCTTTCATTGCTAGGGTCAAGATGGAGATTGCCAATTGTCTCACCCTGGTTGTTACACTCCTCGAGCAAGTCCATTATCCCATATGAGTTAGATACACCCTGCAACACAGTGCAGTCTCCTTGAACATCCAAGTCGTGAACCTCAGATGAAAGGATGCCTTGGACAAGCAGCTCATCACCTAGAGAGTTTAATTGTGTGCCAAAATATTCTTGAATATCTGTTGTGATGCACTGGGGTGTTCCAGATTCCGAAATGCAAGAGAGCTGAAATGTCTCTGTGGGCTCAAAATTGTTGGGATTTGCCATCGAAGATAAATCTGCAGAGGAAGTTGCAGCATTTTCAGCTGTAGAGAAATGTTGTTTCTGCTGCATTGCTGCTGTGGTGACTACTTCCCGCTGAGTAGAACTTCCCATTGTATGCAGTGCTGGCATAACTGAGAAACTTCTTGAGAGTTCACAGCTTCTAACATTCTGCAAAATACCGGCATATATGGACTGGTGATGTCCAAGCAGGCCATCACAATTAGGATTACAAGGCTTGTTAAGAAGCCTCGAAAAATTTTCTGACCCAAAACCAGCGAAGAAGTGCTGTGTGTCGACATTTCCATCTTCAGTTGGATTTGTAAATGGGTTCAAATTTACAAACTGATTGTTTATTGCAGGACCTGCAACACATAAGCAAAATAATCAGGATGTTACAAACCGAGCAGAATGACATTATGAAAAGAATCACATATTTGACCCATCAAAGCATTAACTTGCACATGTACCCTCGGGAACAATATTTATTTGCAGCTGTCCCCTTGAGGTCATAGTCTACTGACTATTGTAATCCCAATATAAGTTTAGGCTACTGTCAAACCAATCTTCAGAGCACATACATACCTTTTATTTTATTGACTTTATCATTAGCTATGCAATCTAACTATGGTTGGTTAATAAAATTTTAGTGGAGTGCATTTTGCATGATAACAACAACATTTTGACATTGTCAGATTCTTTGCTAACCAGAAATGTCACTGGTGCAAATAAATAACACTTCATGATGCAATGATTGTTGAAACGGTACTATAGCAAATGTAGGAAAATTAGGAACATAACTAATTGGAAATATTTCCACAGCACACATCAATCTAGTATCTTCTATTCCAGTAAATCTTAGGGCTAAGGCTTCCTGGCCCTTTCTAGCTAGGTGTCCGCAGAAAAAGGAAAAGTTATATTGTGCTGTATTTTGAAATAAAATATTTGACAAAAATTTTAGTGCATTATTAAACAAAATAAAATTCCTAGGAACCAAAATATGGGCTGGATAGATCACATTATATATCTCAAGGCGAAAAAGTGTTTGCAATGAGAATAGAATTTCACAAACAAGTTCTACATCAATCTTTGGTTCCCACCTGTGCTACGATTAGAAAATCACATAGAAATCAACATGATAGCAATTTTCTTTCACTTAAGGTTACAAACAAGAAAAGCCACAAAGAGTTCTCTTCCAAGCAATATAAAAACACTCACCTACATATCCAGGAAGACATTGTCTTTTTAAACTTGAAGTTACATTAGGAAATGCAAAAATACTTTCTGGGGTTTCAATTTCCCATAAGCTGACCCTATCAGGTCTTTCTCCATAACCATGTTCATACCATTCCACCTGGAAACACAAAATTAGTGCAAAAGGAGAACTCAATCAATTTCAATCATCAACATTGATCTTTTTTTGTAAATGCATGAGCAAAATCTGACTCACTTGCAGGTTTCGCCACCTTGAATTAGGCCATCTGACAGGATCATAATCACTGATACCTACAATTGTGCCCATGTATCTACAAGAACAAGCAACACATTTCAGGATGTTAATTCTTATTAAAAAAAAGGTCCATAAATGGTACATAATGAGTTTACTGAATTTGTAGAACTTAAGCACCAAAGAAAATAATTATTGTCGAGCACATTTAGGCAGCATGATCAAAATTCGTGTTTATACATACCCATACTTCTAAGCATATAGACATATCACTTGAAATTTTCCCCATGGTCATCGAGGCAAAGCAGTAGGAAAATAGCTAAGCATATCATTACCTATAATCTTGTTCAGAAAACTATAATTGCCTAATTAAACGAATGTATAAACTTTCCACTAAAGAAAATTATTTAAGATTTCTTCCAAACTTAATCTATAAACTTTCCACCAAACAAAGGTCATCGTCTATAATGGTAAATTAGGTTCTGTTGGGTGGAGAAGTGGCAGCTTTGAAAAGAAGGCATATGCCTCAAAAAGAAGAGAGCCTGAGAATGGCCATGTGCTAAAACCAAAGAAGCTATATTTATTTATATCTTGTGCTTCTGCATATTAAGCAAAATTAACTAACGCAATTTGGAAGCAATAATAAAGATAGCATGTACAGTTAATTGGATTTCTTGTCCTGGAGAGAATTCTTGTGAGTCAAATCAATGGACATATTGCATCATAATAAACTACGTATAGCACTGCAATAGTGATTGACAAATAATGAGCACCTAAGGACAGTGGAAATAGAAGTTCGATTTTGGTCTACTTAGGTGTGAGTAAAAATACATCACTGGCAGTCTGAACCAATAGGTCAAACTAAGCCTTTTCTGAAGATTTAGAAATTCCTAATTTTCATCATAACAAATTGAGTGGCAAAAGAATAAAAGAGATCCATCAGAGAAAACAATGAACAATGGGATTCATTACAGAAATCATCAAGGCCTACTAAAATAACAGTCTGGTGCTACTACCAATCAGCAGCCGGACCAGTATGGTTCCGATATGTATCGACATACTGATTCTTGGCATGTGTTTTTCTGACATGGACCAGTGAGAAATAGGAAGATAAAGAGGGCAGGAAGAGGAGGGAGGAAGAAAGGTTTGGTTGAAGAGGAAGAGGCTTACCAGAGGTCAAGCAGGAGGCAGCAACCCTTACAAGGTGGAGCAGGTAATGACAATGGGGCAAGATGGAGGAGGCAATGGTGGTGATGCAATGTCAAAAAGGAAGTGGCGAAGGAAGGGAACAGAGAGAGAACACGAGAGAAAGAACATATATGAGGAGGCAAAGAAACGAAGAAGAAAAAAAGAAGAAAAATATATATCTTGAAATTGAACGTAGGTGATCATGGAGTAGGTCTATCACTCAGTACACCCTGTTTTAACTCTAAAATCTGGTTGGTATCCTTGGTATGGTAATCATACCAGGTAGAATGAAACAATACTAAACAATAATATTGGTTCATGATTGAATCAATAAATACTATGCACAGTTTGATACTCGAAATCACAAACAAATGAATATTTATGCTTTGATCCCATAGAACAATTGCTATACTTGAACTGACAACAACAACTACCATATCAACAGCAAGACAACAAAGTGATGATAGGAAAACAACCTGCGTTTACTTGACACCTCAGTTTCAAACATCATGCCAAATCTCATCCCAATTGATACCTGGGTATATGCAGCTTTATGATACTTGGTCATAGGAATTATAAACTCAGAAGGACATGCTCTGAGGAAAAAACAAAGAAATATTAATAAACAAGAATCAAGAACAAAAATAGCTCAAAGTTTTAAAACATGGTGATCAAACAAGAGCAAAACAATGTACCTAGGATTATAGAGCACAGTGAATGGGCTCCTACTTGCCGCAGCATGAGCTGCTGCAGCAAGGACACCAATATGCATACTGTCAGTGGAAAGTACAGATGATGTCAGGGCTGTTAGTTTACGGTTGGCACATCTAACACCCAAGAGTAGCTGCGAGTTCTCATCCCTGCATGCACTACACATTTCATTAGTTTCTGGTGATGATTTTTTTTTCCAAAAGTTAAAATGCTCGAACTAGCCCCACACAGCAATTCAAAGTGTGCATGTATATACATCAAGTAAAACCAAAAATCTTCAACTATTAAAATAGCAAATCCTAACATATGACCTTCTACATAAGCATAAACTTCCAATATATTTCAATTAAATGAATTTGCTATACATTATTCATGTGTCAAGCTGCCCAAGGCTTGATTGTGCTCCGACAAGCATAACGACGATAATAAAAAATATCTGATGTCTACGTTCTGGTTTCACATAATAACAAGCATCTAATAAAGGAAGCATGGGAATGCCCGCTTCCTTGTTCCCCGTACTTGAGCACTAATAATAAAGTCTGAAAAGAATAAATCATTTCAGATTTTTCTTCTCACAAATTGATGACTTTTCATAGGGGAGACATTTTTTTTCCAACCCATCCAACGAACCTGAACCAACCTAGATGAGGGACGAACAAACAGATCTGAGACCAGCTCCATTGTTTGAGATGTATGTTCCAACAAATACTACCCGCACTCTAAGACCAGATTGGCTCCACCTTCAGGCATTTGATGGAAGCAGATCATAATTGCTTGGTCACTGTTAGATTTGGTTAAATGGATCAAGGTCTCACTCAGATCAAATCTTTGTGCTTTCTTAATTTTATCAAAAATGTGGACTAGTAGGTATGCTTTGCATTCTGAGTCAATAATCAGGATGTGCAGATTCATTTGGAAGAGATTAGTACAAAATTGTAAGTTAACTTCATATGATATATAAAATGAAAATCCAAATCAAACCAGGTTTGTGGGAATAAATGAAACTAACAGGAGATGCCGTTGTTATAAAGTTGCACAATTTTCAGTAGGTTTCCTTTCCGGTACAACAATTGTTCATAAGACTCCTCTATAATTGTTTGATGGCATGGATTAGCTTATAATGGATCTGCAAACCCTTTATTCATTAAGTTGTGCATCAAGAATATCAGAAAGCCTTCTATAGGGTATATAACACACTGATTAGAAATGGACATTTTGGAGTTCACATGCACAAGAGACTGGGAAGTGGGAACAACTATAGCAAATTTGCTATCAGCCTAGAAGAGCTAGCTGTTGATAAAGAAATCTCTACCAGACTTCAAAGAAGGTTTTGCAACACTATGGATGGATAAACCAGCAAGGCTTATTCTAGAGAAATGCCTCAAATCATTAGGAGACAGGGACCTGCATTGCTTGATCTCAAACTTACAATAAGAGTTAGTCAAGATTGGGTGACATGGAGACAGAAATCATCTTCAAAAACCTATGCAGGCAGAAAAGTGTTCATAGATCCATCAAATAACTACCAACAACCCTTACATTAATTATATTAGCAAACTACTAAAACATTTCAAACTAAAACCAGCATCTCAACAGTTCATCTGTTTCCAACAAGGTAAGGTTTGAGTTCACTAAAAGAAGAATATATAAATAAAATCAGAATTTATTCAACCTACAACAATGACCATGATTCATATCTGGGTTCTTGGATGTGGCAGTTATATGGTATGTTTGATATTGTCCGACTATGGCACATACCTAACTCAAGTTTTGATTTTTTTGCCAACCTGAACTCGTCAATAATTTGTTACTTTCACACTCATAGTAATTGAAATTTCAGCGATACTATTGGAAGGAAGAAAATTTTAACAAGGCATCTCCAAAACAGCATAATCATAGGAAGTCCTTGGGAAAATATTTTTTGAACCCTCGCGTTGTCTTAAAAACCAGCACATATCACGTTAGTTTCCAATTGTTCATATAAGAATAGAATAGATAAACTTTGAACAGACCAAGAAAATTATTCTGTAAGAACTTCAGAGAATAACTCTATATATGTTATGAACCTGGACACAGGCTATGAGAAATCTATACTATATATCTTCGATGATCTTGTAGAATACAACAATTAAAGCACTGAAAGAACAATCATTCAATAATTTCCAAGTTTCTAGGATTTGAAAAGCCAATACCAAGATCATATTGTAATATAATTACAATCAGAAACATATTTTCCTCGTGTTATGCCATTTTACCTGATAAACAAACAGAATCAACAGCTTTAAGCTTTTTTGCACCCACAAACAGACTCCATCCAGTGGTCAAAAGATGTCTCTTCGGCTGTCCTGGAAAGAAGAGGAAAGCACTCTGTTGCTTACAACATTTGTATCGATATAAATAAATGCAAAATGGTGGAACTATATATTGGCAGAAAATGCTTATTTGTGAGCACAAGAGTATGGGACATAACAATGCAGGATATTCCTGCTTAAACCATTTGTTGAATTTCCAGGAAATCATCTAAGATGAGAAAGTTGGAATTAGCTAGCACGTATAAAACCATGGATGTAATGGTAACTCAAAATATGCCTATCCTCCTACCACGATAGATGTGTCGAAATGTCCACAAGTTATCGTGCAAATCCCTGACGATAAGTTCCTGATTTGGAGGTTGCATTGAATAATCCTGGGAAATATAAGCAAGTTTAAAGGCATGTCCAATAGAAAGTCAGCAGAAAATTAATCGACTCCTCACCAACTGTGGACATAGCTTTTCAGCAGCCCTTCGAGGTACTGAGAATCCACCATGTTTGCTAGTATCACTTACAGTTAAAATCTTACAGAAGAACTCAGTTGGGTGCTTACATCTAGTATGACCTAGATCTGGAATAGGAAAGACATCATTTTCCTGAAAGGAAAAGAGAAAGATAAGAATCACAATACTAGTACGAATCCTCTCTTCAACTAATAGCTCAAATAGTACATTTTAATTTTCACTATAATGCCATCATATCTTCATGATAGTGTTGCATGAAGTGGTGCATTGCAAATGCAAGCTTCTAAGTCACTGTGAAGCACTCAGGTCTTATCCACCTAGTAAACATCTTCTCTCAACTCCAAGTCGTGGAGAACAATATTAGGAACCAACAAATGCACACTTTTTTGCTGCACTCTTATAATTTAACCTTCTCAAACTCAAATAAGTGGTAATTGAATTCACCCACAAGAAAAGAGAAGCGTCATTATAACTAACAAGATTAACTTGCACACAGACGTAGAATTACAATATGTTATGACTCGATCTCCAACATCTAAGGGAAAAACATCAATTCACAAGGAAACTAGCATGACTTTGGTTTCTCTGTCTTTTATAAAGCAACATAAAAGCTGTCTAGGGAAGATCAATGATTATTATAAGAGAAATCTGATTCCAAGAATGTAAACATAAGTATCAAAATATGTAATTCAAAGAAGCAAGATGAAAATCTTACAGAAGTTACTGGCTGAAGGGTCATCTGAGCATATATTTCATCCGTCTCCTTGTCAGCCTACGAATATGTGCCAATTAGAAAAAGCAAGTATTCATAAATATTTTAAATAAAGAAATAGTAGAAACCAACATCGCCTACTATACTCACATGTAGTGTAACATTGCGAACTTGGCACATAAATTGAGATGGGAGATCTGTGTAGGAAGGAATCCGTGAGTTTGCCATTTTTCTAGTCGAAGAAGTCACCTGACCAGAAGCCAGAAGATAATTAACAAACCAAAGAATGAAAAGCTTTCAATTTTCCCAACAATAACTTGGTCAATATCTTATTTTGGCTCAGAAATGATGGCTTCAAGCAAACTTGACAACATCCATCCCATAAATCAAAAAATAGCCAAATCTAACCAATAAAAATTAGTTTGGATATGTAATGTCTAAATGTGAGTTGCATTTAATCCAGCCTAACATATGTGATTATCAATGGCGTTCCGATCATAATAGGAATCAAAGTTTTGAAACTTTTAACATGCAGAAGAAGCCATTCTACCAAAATTTTAGTCTTTCATTCTTAACCCAGATCCCTCAAGTGTAAATCGAGGCTTGTTAGAAACTTTCTGGACAGAGAAAAAACTGTTTGTCAAATCACAACAAATATCAATAAGACAAGAAATTTGAAGTCTGTTTTTCTATTAACAAATGCTTGTGCAATTTTTGAACGTCATTTTGCTGCCGAAGATTCCGAGCTAGGTGATCTCCAGGAAAGATGATATAAAGACAAGACAAGAATCCGTATCCACAATACATGAGATGAACAGAAAGAAAAGAACCTGTTCAATGTGTCCCTGTGGAAAATAGTATACTAGGCTGCCAGGTTGAGGCAATGATACAAGTGGTCCAGCACAGGCATGCCAAAGCTCAGAATTTAACACCTTTCTTGCACCTACAAATAAAAGTAAGCTGAATATTTTCTTCAATTCAACAACAATTGAATGAACAAACAAAAAAAATCTTAAGTAAATGAGCATACATCCACCAAATATTACATTTATGCAAAATGAGTATTATACAGGAAGGTGTAATGAAGAAGAAAATCACTCACTTGGCTTGCTTGGAACTTCACCCAAGAGCTTCATTTCATCTAGCAGTGCTGCAGCGTTTTTTAGACCGCAGACTCAGACATTTGTTTGAACGGAAGACATCATCAACCAGCAATCTTAGAAGATTAACTTGTATTGAGACAAAACTGAAGACAGAATGCTGAACAACAGCCTCTCGCCGCAACATAAGAGGAACGTCCACACTGCACTCTTCATCCCGTGAACCAAAAACCTCCCTTAAACACCCTACCACGAAGTCAGTGGTGTCACGTTCCAAACACCAGAAGCAACAGCCCATTGAACATACTTTAACAGCATTAGCATTCGGAGGACACCACTTCAGAAGCATCCACTTTACATCTTCAAGCACAGAACATCCTTTAACGCTCGTCTGAGCAGAGAAAGACAAGTTGCGGTAATTGTCCATACAGAACATACTTTAATGCTCGTCTTTATGCAAAACCTTTTTCTCCGTAATGTGTACCTTCTCTCTTGCACTTGAAGTGTCTTCTGTTGTCATTGATTATGCACATGTTTTACATCTGTTTTGCTTTATTTGACTGACATTGAGAAACATCTTCTGACGGTTTATCGATTTCTTTGACATTGGTGTGTGAGATTTTTCTTCCATCAATATGCCATTTCTTTCTCTAGCATGCATCAAAGAAGACTACACCATTGCATTGACCCATTAACATAACGAACTAGGACCCATTAACTTTTTCTACTTGTTGTGATAGACTTCAACCGCTCGAAGAATCTCATATCTTAGGAAACAAGGATACAACAATTCCAGGTGACAAGTAGGAACTGGCTTAACAAGTACAGGTTTCTATTTAAAAATTACAATGAAAATGTATATGCCATAAAGTTTAAAATGGGCTTAAATGTCATCGAAGCAAGATAGTCTACAATACTCATCTTTGCATCAAAGCAGATGTGCCAAGAAAAGCACAATTATCTTTTGCAAAATTAATGAAAAAAGCTGCTTTATTCACCACTTAAAGTGATTATGGATTGCTTTGTACTTACCAAAAAAAGATTATGGATTGCTTTGCTGCACAAAATTATCAATCTGATGCCATAATGGTTGAAAAAGAATCAAGATTATGGAAGTGATGAACATACATACACGGCCATAAGCATCTCTTTGAACAAATTCTTCCTTTGTTATAAACTAATGATAAACATTCTGATTCATGGAATTATCTACTAGCTCTCTGGGCATTCCGATCTATGATCGCAACTCATGATTCAGTTCATAGGCACCAGTCCCATGTCTTTTTCCCTTCCTTTTGATATGCAACATCTTAATATTCATTCACCATTGTCCTAGCTAAGTCCACCAATCAAGAGGCAATCCTTGAAAAATCCAACAGAGGAAGAAGATTTACAAGCTCTAATCATTCATGTTAGGGGTGCCAATTCAACTATAATTTCCCCTTTTTTTGAAATAATGAACCGGGTATCTGCATAGCGAATTACCTGGGTAATTGATATTTATCTGGTAGATCCACAACCAATCCAGAGTTTAAGCTCTAGATAAACTGCACGTTTACAACTACGTCCACTAACATGCTTCGTATAGATGACGTCAATTTCTAGGAAAGACCTCAGAAACAGAAGCTTATATAAGGGATTATGCTCACAATGATTATGGCTGGAACCAAACGAACCAAATTGAGAGAGACCGATTGATCAACTGTTGTTGTGAATGGTGATAGGAAAGATCATAGTAGTACCTGTTAGCATGATGACGTTGGATTTTGGGAAGCTGTAGCGATTGATGAGGAGGTACTTCATACACTTGGCATCATTTATACACCCCATAAGCTCGTTTGGCGTGTTCCGATCCGTGACCCCGCAAATCACCGCTTTCTTTCGCTCACTGACACCCGGCTTCGGCGGCGGGGCTATCTTTCGCTCACCACCACCCGGCTTCGGTGGCGGCGATAGCCCCGCCATCCCGATCCGTGACCCTGCAAATCACCGCGTTCTTTAGCTCACCGCCACCCGACTTCGGCGGCGGCGATAGCCCCGACGATGGCGATGGGTGCGGGAGGGAGCCAGGAGGCAGAAGGGGATGAGAAGCCTCCGGAGGCGCTGGGACGCCCCAAGAATTGGACACGTAGGAGATGGACTTGCAGATGGTGCATCGCACGGACGACACCCCCGGCGGTAGCTGCAGCAGGGTGTGGCAGTGGGAACAATTAATCAGCATTATCGTCAGATGGATCTGATTGAGAAGGCAGAGGCTCGGATGGCCCGTCGGCGGCGAAGATGGGAATGGAGGAGACGGAGGAGAACGGACTGGCAGAGTTGACGTGGATTGGTGAATTCAAACACCCGCGCCTTCGTCCTGTTCTGACATCATGGTCTTCATAAGATTGCACCGCTCAAGTCTTAAGTCACAATATCTCCATGATGGAATAGTAAAAAACTGAGTAGCAAGTATTCTGACATCATGGTCCACACAATGATATCTCCATCTGACCGCAACCAGAAATGAAGCATTGAGTTCTTCACTTCGGGACAAGGTATAGGTTAGAGATGTAAAAAAAACAAATAACACGCTGCATTGTATATAAGTTCAAATATCAAACCATAAAATATTCACTCTAAGTTATTCTTCAATTTTAAGTTAAAAACTCTTCTAAAAATGAAAAGTTTTAAAGGCATCATAAACGTCCTTTGTATCACTGTGGACGGAGCCTTTTTGGCGTCGTTTTCTCCGAATAAGGACAACAAGCGTTTTGAAATATGGGTAAAAGGAGAGAAAAGAGTCACGGCAGCGTTGGGGCGAAGCCTGGGGGGGGAGAACAAGCGTTTTGAAATAAGGACAACGCACATCCGTCCTGCATCCAGAACCACGAACATCACAATCAATCTATCCAGAGCGCATCGAGTAAGATCTCAAGTAAACAATCCTTCAGAATTTAACGTGGATGGGTCGAAGGAAACAGAAGGACAAAGGGGAAAGGATACGGCACTCACTACAACCAGATGCCACGAAGCGAATGTCGACGCCGACGAGCGGGCGAAGCCTGGTGGGGGAAACGAGGTTCGCAGCATTGGGGGCCCCCATCCGGCCCAGCATGTCCCAGTTGGTACCCCCGCAGTATAGGACCTCCCCAGCGGCGGGCGCCACGGCAGCGGTCTCCCCCTCCTCCGGCTTGGTGTCCGCGCCGGTTGCTGACATCTCGACGACGGGGCGGCGGAGGAGCTTAGGGTTTCGCTCTGCCCTAAGAAAATAATAAGAGGAAAAGAAAGGGAAAAAAGACGCGAGCACGAGAGAGAGCGAGCGAGATGGAGGGATTCGGGGGTGGCGGCTTTTAATGTTTTGGCGTCTAAGGTAAGGATTGAACCCGATCGTTATCTTTTGCTCTCCCTCTCTCTCCTCAAGTGCGTCGGTTTGATATAAGACGCGGGATTGGATTTCTTGTGGGGCATATTTAAATGAAAAGAAAAAAGAAAAGTACGAGACGGG